GGGGCCGAGCCGCGTGCCAAGGACGCGGGGACCAGCGCCGCCGGCAAACCCCACAGCGGCTGCAGTGCCTTTGGCTCCATTAATGCCAGGACTAGTAGTGAAATAGCAAAGGAGCTGGAGGAACAGTTTTACACCCTGGTTCCTTTCGGTAGGAATGAGCTCCTGTCTCCTCTGAAAGACAGTGATGAGGTAAAGTCACTGTGGGTCAACATTGACTTGGCTCTTTTGTCCAGGATTCCAGAGCGTTTGCCTGAAGAGCCGCTGGCCATGAGCGCCGGAGCAAACCAGGTGGCCAGCCTGCCGCAGGGTAGTAGTGCTGACCCCCCCACAGAGAAGGGTTTACCGAAATCTAGAAGGAAACGCAAGGTGAGTTTCAGGGGGACCGACTGGGGCGGGTAGGGGGTCCTCTGGCAAGTGGGAGGCCAACATCGCTTGCACCTGCATCCAGTGCTCGATGGTGATGTTTTCTCCAGTCCAGCACTTCAGAGCTGGGGTTTGTCCCCGCTGGCCACATAGGAATCAGCCAAACCCCAGGGAAAATGCCATCCCAGGAGGTGATGAAGCTCCTGGTCACGAGGGATCACAGCCCCTTGGAGACAGCGTTCACTGCTGACACGTGGCTTTCCATGCCTTAGTGAAGGCACTGCCTTTTTAGTAGGATAGTTTTCTCTCCTGCGGCTTCTTTCAAAACCTGAGCACTTGGAGGTGATGCTTAGGTCAGCAAAGGGATGACTATCAGCTGTCATGTCATGGTCTGCACGGTATCACTGCGTATATGGAAAAAGGAGAAGTGGCATCTTTTTTCCCCTCAGATTGTCAACAAGAGGCAAACCCTTCAGTTCCAGCAGGTAGCCCTGGCTTCATGGAGGATGCACTCGCAGAGACCTGGGACCTGCCTGGCTCTGCAACCTGCCTCCCTTGCACCCCAGTAGCCCCCTTTTACCTCGAGGCTCTCAGACAGTTGTAGAACTGAGAGTGTAGTCCATTAGCTGCACCCCTCTGCAGCAGCACCATCACAGCAGCCAGGTGGGCACAACCCTCTGGTCACATCCACCCCTCCACCCTGCCTCTCCCATACACTTTCTGAGCCACCGGTGGTGCCGAGGAGAAATCCCCCTCCAGCCCATGGCCAAAGCTATCCACCGAGGAGGCTTTCTGGTCCATTTTTAGTGATCTGACCCCAAAAGTCACTCTGAACTGGAATTGCCATCAGCCCAATTTTGGGATGGTTATACTGTGCAGTCATCTGTCGCCCTCTGAGCTACTGTACGTGTGCAGATTAATCTGTATATTTCTGAGGATCGTTTATCTAAAGCAGTCTTTCCTTTTTTATCTTTTTTCATTTTCTGGTTCTTTTTTTAGTATCTGAAAGGTGGCAACCCTGCTCTGACCACTGGGAGAGCCATAACAGAGAGCCCTGATAAGCTTTGGGATGTGTTTGTCTGCATTTTCTTTAGGAAGTAGCATAGAAGTAATTGCAAAGTACAAAATGATGGGGAATAGGTCAGGAATGAGTGGCAGAAGCAAAATATTTATGTTTTAAGCCATAGGAGATGCTAGTGTGATAGTGCCAGGCTGCACACCCAGAAGGAAACAGAAGGACACGATAGAAGAGCAAAATAAATGCAGTCATTCTAGAAATGCTTAATCTGACTTTCTGTGGCACATATTATCTTTTACTCTTCTGTCTTAAAGCATTGCTGTTGGTGGTGGTTTTAGTGATATAATAAATACAAGGTATTCCTGGAGTACCAAATTGCCCCTCAGCCTGGAATAAGACCCTCAATGGGACAGCTGCTGTGCAAACTTAGAGTATGTGATCCCCCTTCCCAAAACACTTTATGAATAAAACTAATAAGAATGGATTATCAGACACAACTGCAAAATTAGAAAGAGGTCCTTATCACTTCTGCCTCTGGCATGATCTCAAGAAGATGAGCAAAGTAGAGACAGAGAAGGATGTTTAGGAACTGAGGTGCAAGAAGATCTTCAGTCCTGTGGAGTGTAAGCTACAATGTTAACCCCATAGCAGCAGCAACACTGGCAGTGGATAGCACAGAAAATGTTGTTGCCATGCAGCTAGGCAATAAATACAGAAGAATCGACATATCATAAGTAAAACTCAGCCAGCACTGGAAATTAGAGAAGTGCTGGAAGTGGAAAAAGAATATGGACTTTGCAGGAGGTTGATGAAGAAGAGCCTTTGGGAGCCAATGATAGAACCTAAGGAACATAATATGAAGTTAAATAGTGGCAGGAAACGTTGACTATGTTCATACTAGTAGGCAAGATATGGCCAGGGTGCAGTCCAAAGTGGTGGCACAGTCACCCACTTTGTTTAACTGTTAACATGCTTGCTAATGTGGTTCTGGCCTGGGCCAGCTTCTGTTATTCCAGACAGTGTCTGGTCCTTGCTCGGGACCAGACTAAGGTCCTTTCTTAAAAGGGAATCTGAAGGTGGCATGCCCTGCTTTGAAGAAGGAGCGAGATGAGTGCATGTGTGTGAGCTGTGCCATGCCAGTTGGCCTCAGGACCAATTGCTGATCTGTTGTATTTACTAGTATAAGCATAGTGAAAGATGCCAAGAAAAGAGGGAGAGACAAAAGAGGTATGAGGTTAAGGAGTAGGTAAAAGAAAAGTGCACACGCGATGGGCAAAGAGGGCAATACAAAGAAAAACTATGCCAAGGTGCAAGTCAGGAAGTGGTAGAAACAATTCAAGTTTTATATTCTACTCCTTTGTTTACACACTGCCTCGTTAGATTTTATTTTTTTAAGACATGGACCAATCATCTTTGATCTGTGTTAGGTATATGCTTGAAGAAAGTGTCATCATTAATACCTAAATGCCAGAAAATACCAGCACCTGACTTGTTGAAATACTTTTTGATCTGTAGTAAATCCCAAACCTACAAGATTATTATTTTTCTCTTCATTCAGTGTGAGAATGAGGAAGAGTGCAGAGACATCAAGAAGACTCACTTAGAGCGAGAGAGTTCTTCACGATTAGCTGCCTCTGCCCACAGCATCACAACAGCAAATCATTGCAATATGAATGAAAATAGGTAAGCATTTTCCTTCTTATTTACCACTGAGTCATACAACTAGTTGCAGTTTAATGCCATGTGTTACTTTTTCCTTTAGTAGGATTTATTTTTTAATTACCACATTTTATGTTGAAAAATTACCCACTGCATTCTCCTTTCTTCTGGTTTAATGAACAAGTTAGCAGCTCCTGACATATTTATGTACTTGCATTTTTGTCCTATTACACAAAAAAGTTTTGAGTTCAAGTGTGAGGCTCATGGAATGAGTAATTATAGCTATAGCAGTGCGATTGTCCGAGGCATATTCCCAAACATTATGTTGTAGGTATCAATTCACATAGGCAACGATCTTATAGCCTTACAGTGTTATGAGTTTCAGACTTAAAGTTTGACTGTATGAATACAATTATCTGTAAACTCTATGGAAAAGATTGAGAAAAATATTCATAACAATGCCTGCAATACTCAGTTCCAGAATATATTTGAGATCCAATATTTTTGAGATTACAAGCAATCTATTCTGTATAATTACTAAGTATTTTCGGACAAGGAACTCAGACTTTAAAAACAATGAGATTTTCAAAGGATGCAGGGCATGAAACAAATGATGAATATTTAGCATTTGCTGGCATCGTTTAGCAATGTTGGATCAGTCATACTGAGTTTCTCTAGAGGCTTCCAGCAGTCAAACTTAGACATGCATCTTTTCAGAGTTCAGCTGCATGCTGCTTAATACATGCTGGTCATCAGTATTTTTTAAAAAAATCATTTTCTCGTAGTATCAGGGTATCTCTTGGGGTGAAACTACTAAAATTAGAGAATATTTGTATTTATTGTAGTAGGCTTTTCTGTTGTACACATCACTGATGAGTTTGAGCAATTCTTGTCATTAATACTGAAAAAAAGTCAGGGAAAAAACTAATATATATAGTGCTTATTCAAAAATATGCATTCAATTTCTTTGTCCTGACATGTCACATATGTTTCATAAAGTGAAAACAATACACAGAACAGTTTGCTTTATTGTGGGTGATTGCATGCAGGCATGCCATTCCTGTTACCGCAGTGTCGTATGTTTTACGTCGCATTCATTTTCAGAGAATAGCATGGCTGTCATAGCTTGCTATGTCACAGGGTTAATTCTGTACTTCCTGGAAGCAGGACAATAATTTGTGTTTTGCTTGACATTATATTCAGTACTCCTGGTAGCAACTGTACAACAAAGAAACAAAGAAGAAGGTCTTAAATGTATGTTTGCCTCCTAATTCTTCCCTGGTCTGCCCTGCTTCCAGGACGTTTCTGTGGTTTATGCTACTGCAGGACATGATACCAAATGCTAACATTCCCACAGCTGTGGATGGGCTACTGAGACTGTAGCTAAACCAGCAGCGCAGATATCGGGACCTCCTGTCCCTCTTGCAACCAGCGGCTGCTCATGCTGGCATATCCCCCCTCCAGTTATGCCACCATAGTTACCTGTGAGGGTCTCCTGTAAATTCACTCCAGAAATTTGTCTGAAACCAGAAGTCTTTCTTTTTCTCTCTCTCTCTCATTTTTTGGGTTGGGTTTTTTTTGCCTGGTTATTATTATTCAGCTCCCAGCAGAGCCACACAGACAGTTTTGTCAGCACAGTTGAGGACTGGTAGCAAAGAAAGGAGAAAAAACACCTTCAGACATGAACATTTTCTACTGTGGAATTACAGTCGGAGGCACAGACTAAGCAAATCCCCGTTTGACTAGAAAGGCTGCAGTGTCAGGCAGAGATATACCAAATATCTTGCACCTACGTCAGATAACACTCATAGAATCAGGGAATCGTTATGGTTGGAAGAGACCTTTAAGATCATCAAGTCCAACCATTAACCTAGCACTGCCAAGTTACCACTAAACCATGTCCCTCAGCACCACATCTACCCATCTTTTAAACACCTCCAGGGATGGCGACTCAACCACTTCCCTGGGCAACCTGTTCCAATGTTTGATAACCCTTTCAGTGAAGAATTTTTTCCTAATATCCATCCTAAATCTTCCCTGGCACAAGATGAGGCCGTTTCTTCTTGTCCTATAGCTGATTACTTGGGAAAAGAGACCAACCCACACCTCGCTGTCCACACTGGGACAGTCTGCCCAGTCCCAGCAGATGACGGCTCACTGCAGGTTGTTCTGCATGGCTTCTCAGTATAAGATGATTGTGCTGCTGCAGTTTGACTGCTCACAGTACGTTGAGGTGGGCCCTAGGCAGTATGCCAAAGGCCACGTAGAAGGTCTGCAGCACTAGAAATTGCAGCTGCTCCTCACAAGCTCTGGGCCAAGCTTTTGAGGCTTGGGTACACTTCCAAAGAGCTATGGCTTCTCTTGGAAGCTTTAGGCTCGCACTGTGACAGTGATGTATAGCCAAGGCATGGGTTTGTGTTTGAAAAGAAGAAATGACAGCATCAGCGTGCACTTTCAAAATAAGTGCTAAAGATCTTATTTTTCTTAGGGCGAGAAGAAGGGCACAGTTGTCCATCTTCCACACCCTGATTCTTGCTTTCGTAAACAGCATTAGTCATTAAAGCAAAACAGTTCACGTTGTGTTTTAAAAGTACTACACTTTAGGAAACAGGAAAGATTCTGAGTTACGATACATGCCTCTTTCACAGTTAGTTTTTTAAAGACTTGCCAGATAAATGGTCAAATGTATGATAAGAGCACATTTAATTAGCTCTGTTCCCTGAAATTATGTGCAGAAATAAAGTATAGTTTGTACCATATTCTTTTTTGCGATTCCATTAAGTGTATACTGTCTGATACAGTAACTATAAAGAAGTGAGAATTGTCCATAAAAAGTAATAGGCTGAATAAAGGGGAATGTGACAGGGAAAGGTTTTGTGTTAAAATAGTTGGTCTGACGTTAATCACAGTTTTAGTCTTAATGCAAACTGTCTCCTTAAAAAAACCTTTTATTTTGTGTGTGTTGCTTTAAGATTTTTGTCTAAATATTTTCTTCAAATTAGTGCATCTGAAGTTTATTTCTGGGCATATTTTTACGGTCTGTCTGACTTCTCCTCATCCAAAGCTTCTCCCAAATAAATGAAAGCTGAAAATACTGTCTGTGTTACAGTTTTCTTCTTTAGAAAACAGACCAGCTCACATTTCTCTGCGTCTACTGCTTGCATATGTTTCCTTTTGTCTGCACTACCAGCCTATCTTTCTTTGTCTTCAAAATCTGTATTAGATTAGTATAAACAGTGCTACCAAAGGCTGGGCATTGAGCACAAAGACAAGCCAGTCATCTTTAAACACATTTCCTGTTTTAGTTCACATATGGTTTTATTGCCATGGCTTATAAATTGTCACCTGTAATGGTGAAATAGGGCTCCATAACCTGAACTTACACTTCAGAGCCTAATCTTCGTCTCCAGCTATCCCTTAAGAAATGGTGAGCAAGTGGCCATTTATCTCTGTATTTTTTTTCAAGTACTCTGATACAGACTTTATATTAACTCCAGAATTACAATTTGCCTTGAAGGGTAAGAGGAGAAACATGATACAAATTTGTAAATGAACTCTTGGTCCCAATACTGTAAGCTTGTTTCCAGATACCAATAGACTTTATCCTGCCAGCATGTTTTAAATTCAAAGTTTTGGTAATATATAAAACATTTACCTTTCTCAAAGCCAGCTTTGTGACACTCCATTACTGTAATTTCCATTTCCAGCTTGGCAATACCAATAAATAAAAATGAGAAAATGCTTCGGTCACCCGTCTCTCCCCTCTCTGATGCATCAAAACACAAATACTCCAACGATGATTTAACTTCCTCCAGCAGACCTAATGGCAGCAGTCTATTACCTTCCATCTCCTCCAGCAAAAAACATAAGGGTGAAATCCAGTCGCAGCCACATCCCGGAGACTTAAATGTAAGTTTATGCCGTTGTTCACAATATAAAGCCTAGCTGTATATTTTTCACTTTGTATTGCAGTCTGTGATAGTTTTGCAGAATGTTATGCAAAAAAAATTGTAATGAATGTTGTATTGTGAGTTCAGTTTTTCTGGTTTGGAGTTTAGCAAGGCACTGAAGAAAAGAAAGAGGGCAGGCTGTAAAGAAGGCAAATAACAAAGGCTACATAAGCAAAAGGTAAAAGCTAATGGCCCAAAACAAATGGCTTTAGGCCTCAAGAGCATTGCTTGGGCACAATGCAAGCCCCCTACATCCAAAAGTGTGGTGGATAAGGCCTCTACTGTATAAGGTCTTTACTCAGCCACTGCCTAACCATGACTGTGCCTGCAGACAAGTTCATAGAATCACAGAATAGTTTGGGTTGGAAGGGACCTTTAAAGGTCATCTAGTCCAACCTCCCCTGCAATGAGCAGGGACCTCTTCAACTAGATCAGGTCGCTCAGAACCCCGTCCAACCTGAACTTGAATGTTTCCAAGGACAGGAAAAACATTCTCCTACACATCTTACCACCAACTTTCTCAGACAATTCTACTTACTCTTGACACCAGTGAACTGGAGCATCTAGTCAAGGTGTTAGGGCACTCTACTGCTGCTAGAAAGGCCCGTGCTCCTCTCCTTGCTACAAAAGCCATTTATAATTTTTGTCCTATATCTATTTGTTATATTTGTTATTTGATAGATAAGAGGCTTCAAAAGTCTAAGTATTAGTGCCTAAGCAGCTTTCAGAAAAACAAACTACCTGAGTTGCAGCAGTGCTCTCTTCCAGCCACTTTTGCTGTGGGGATAACTAGCCCCATAGTGTTTGTTAAGTATATATGTATACCTTCAATATACTTATTTTTTGAGAGCGGAGGCGGAAGTAGAAACTATAATCTTAATTTTGGACACTTTTTAAAAAACAAGTTATCATAAATTGTGTGTTTCAAGAATATTTCACATGCCTTTGGTAAATTGCAATAAAATTAATTACAGAAAAATATTCCAATAAAAATGCATTTTAACATATCATAGTCATGTAAATTTTTAAACATTTTAACTTCTAAAACATAAGTTTAGATGTTTATATCCCATTCAGAATGATAATGATATGCTTCTTCACTGGGTATCTTGAAAACAATTTGAATTCCTTCACAGGCAAATGTGCTGGAAATCAAAAGTAAAAGGTGATTGCTTTATGATCCACACCCTTAGCAAATGCGTTTCACTGAGATTTTCTGCATAGCCTAGCAATGCACCATTTGGTCAACATTTTAACAACCTTTGCAATAAAATTCTTATGTATCCAGTCATTCATCTGAAAACTTTAGCCTGCTGAACTGATCTGGATGAGCCATATAGAAGCTGAGAGCTCATGAACTATAAATGTTAAAGTTAGCTTTGTCTTATCCCATTTTCCCACCTGGCACTTAACTGGCATGCCCAAGTGGTCCTTCGAATTTCTGTCAGAGACCGCAAGCCAGCACGTGGCTTTTGTGTTTGAGCTTTTTCACCATTGCCCTATTGCGTTTCTGTCTGTCACCTGACTTAGAAAGAACAGTGTTTTCTGGTAGTGGTTATCAACCAAAAGCAACCTGGGGCCCTCTGCTTGGCAGTGTGCCAGTGTGTGTTAGCCCACACAGCAGGTCACTCGGTTGGACGAAGGGCTTATGAGGCCACATGAAAAACAGGGCTGCAGCTGAGGGAATGCATGAGACCCTGCCAAAAGACTTGTGCTTCCACTGTGGTGCAGAGCAGTGATCTTTCAAGCTGATCAGGGACCTACAGCAGACAGAAACCTGGACCTTGGGCTACAAATTCGTACCACACAGGCACATCAGCAGTGCAGCATGAAATGAGTCAAACAAGTGAGCCTTGCTCTCCTAAGGCAAGGTATGATGCTAGTTTGGAAGCTGAAGACTAGAGATATAACTTGGTCTTCTAAATGACCACAACAGATCTATTCTTTCATCATTTCACTTAACTGTGTTTCAGAGTGTTTTGCTAGTTACTAACAGTTCAGCTCCATTTCTTCTGTATATCACACTGAAACTTGAGCCCTTTACAAAGTGCTCTGAGCAATATTTGTGAATTTGTGGCTATCAGTGACAGGATAGTTATACATGCTCCATGATGAAACAGGAGGAAAACTAACTGCCAATTTACAACACAATGCAAAGATGCTCTATAGTTTATTAGCTGCTTTTTTGAAGTTAGTAGCCAATTCCTCAATGTCTTCTCTGCTGTTTGTTGTCTAGAAAGCAATTCACATCAATTCAGAAAATGTTCTCTGCAATAAGCCCCAGTCCCAAACAGAGTCTTGGTCACCTCTGTCCAGCACACCCAGGGACTGCAGAAGGACAAAGCTTATCTTTGATGATATGTAAGTACAGATGACTTTAAAATAAAGAAAATAATGTTGTTTGCTGCATTTAAAGACAGAACAATACAATTTGTCCAGTGGGAGCTGAATCATGGCCAGAAGTATTATAGTAGTATCGTAATTGAGCCATGAATGAGACATACTGTATAAACGCTTTAATTTTTCATCATAAATTAAGCCTCCAGTAATCAAGGAGCAGTGAGGACTGGCTGTTGGATGGGGACCCAGGAGCCAAGGGGCAGAACACATCTGACAGGCAGGGGTCCAGTCCCAGAACATCCACACAAGGTGAGCAGGGGAGACCCAAGGGTGGAGTCAGGTTCAACCAAGAGTGTTGATCCTCAGGCAAGTCCATGGTGATAAGGCAGGTCCAAGGTCAGGCCAGGAAGTCAGGTCAGGATCAGGTCCAGTGAGGGTCAGACACAGCTCGGTGACTGCCAGGTATGCATAGTGATGAGGCAACTCTGAGGTCCAGCCAGGAAGACAGTCCCCAGGTCAGGCTCCAGATCAATGCGGGCCATGGCTGGGCACAAGCATGGCTGTGAAGGGCTGAAGACAAGCACACTTCCAATGAGTTGGAGAGGGAGTGAAGGCCCAGACCTAAGCTTAAATGGATTTCTTTAGCCCCTGGGCAGAGGGGGAGGCCTCACATGAGGCAGGACAGGGCCATTAAGGCTTTATTAGTACCCTCAAGGCTCTGGCATCAGACTATTAATAAATACAGAACAAGGCAGCGGGAGAGGGGCACCCTACTCGCGTGCCCTTTGGAGCAAGGGGAGAGGAGCCTTGCGTCCCTGAGCTTTGACAACTGCTGCTGTCATTGCTACTGCTGCTCAGAAAAACATATCACAAAGGCAGGGCGAGTAGGAAGCAGCAGTGGTTAGCATGAGTACCTGGAGGGATACTTGGCCCTCCCCACCTCCACTGCATCCTTCAAACATCCCCTGCTGTCCTCCTCTGAAAATAATTTAAGCTTGTAATTGTCTTTCTTTTCTTTTTGGTGAATTAAAATTGCTGGTTTGTTTCCAAGGTCATTTAGGATGTGGTATTATTTAGATAAGGTATAAAGGTAAAACTGAAGGTTGAAATCCTAGTATCTAGAAAATCCAGATTCTTTCTGTTTGATAATGTTCTGGCCTGAAAATACTGATTTTTTTCTGGCTGGTGTAGAAGAGGTTCTGTTCAAGCTATACCTCAGGCTGCCTGGAGCTCCATAAGCTGTGTGACCTTGACACGTCTTTTGTACTCCCTGACTTTCACCCACAACATCTCTAACTCTTTGTTACCAAATGAAACCCTGGGATAATAGCCTTGTTTCCTCAGGAACTGCTTTCTACCAAAACCGGGATTTTTATAGTAATAACAATAATAATAATAGTAATAGTAGTAGTACAAAGGTTTGTTCACACTCAGGGACAACTAGAGGGACAGCAGCCTCTCATAAAGAGAGTCCAGGTTCCCTACTATAAGGGGTAAATAATTCCCATAGACTTCAAAATGATGTAACTGTTTCATATGTCAAAAGAAGAAGACTGGTGAGATTAATTTCTGTGTGTATTCATGGCAGTCATAAGGAGATGTAAGTTGAATAAATGTAATCAAGTTTTCTGCCCCTTTTGGAGAAAACTCTCCCCTATGTATATATCCTTATTTTCCCTCCTTCTCTACCTCTATCCACGCTTTTAACTCTTCCAGTACGTTTATTCAACAATCTCCAGTGAGGAAATTTGAAACCGTTTAGAAGTACTACCTAACTCTTCATATCTCTTAAAATACCGTATCATCTATAATTTACTTGCAACTGCTCAGTCTTTCTGCAGTTTAAACATGTACATTCAAGGCAGAAAGGTATCAGTGTGCCTGATAAAAGTCAAAAATGTAGGACGTGCTCGTCAGTTTGGATCAGAAAAAATAGAGTCAGAAACAGCTACAACAGAACTATTGTATCTTCATCCGATTTTCCCTCAAGATGCTGATAAAAAACAGGGGGACTGGTTTGTTTTGGTTTTACCTTACATACTGTCATAAGAAAACTGTTTTTTTCACCATCTCTATCATCTAAAAGGCTTTTATCACTTGCTTTCTCCATTAGCGATACGTGTGATTTCTCTGGCAGGCATGTTCAATAAAACTGTTTCACCTTTTCAGAGAGAGATACAATTAAACTGTTCCTGTATAGTGCCTTCCATGTAGAATGTCCCCAAGCAACTTGTGGCCCATTAAAAAAAGCAATCTAAAAAGCCAAATAAGATAAAACACAGAATCAAATATGTCTTAATTTGCCCTTAAAAAACAGAAACGGTTAAATGCCTGTTGTGCTAACTAAAGGAGGGAGATTTTCATGTACTACAGCTGTCATCCACAACCTGTATCTAGGAAACACCACCAGAGTACGAGCTATACTAGACCTTGATTCTGAAATTACTGTGCAGAGAAGTCACTGAAATGTAGCAGATTAGAGTGGCTGCAAATGTTAAATGTCAACAAATTTGACTCACATCTTAGAAGGATCAAATTAAACATGGCAGCCAGTGTCTTTCAAATTCATACAGTACCACAGCAGAGGATTTGAAGAACTACAATACAGTAGGTCTAAAATTATGTAGTAATCCTAATGGCAGCATTTGTCCAAAATGATGCCTATGAAGTATTTCATCTCATAATCCATGAAGTTCTGAATTACTGTAATCCAGCCGTGGCTTTAAAGTCTTCATTTTAATCAGACACTATAGTTTTTAAGAGACTAAATCCCTTATATTTGATTTAAAACAACAACTAATTTTTTTGACCAATCAGTGTCTCTTTGCTTTATTCTCAATTTATTTTCTCCAGATCATTGACAACAGCTGTCACTAGCAATAAATTGGAACACAAGTAGGTCAATAAAAAGTATATCTTGCTTGGCAGAGTGCTGTATACACATACATGGCAACATAAAAGTAAATATAGCCAACAGTCTTCAAAAGGCAGGAAAAATCCTACTTCCCCTGGTTTGCCATTGTTTACTGCCTGCTCTAAATATGCTTCGAGGTACCCAGCATGCCACATGTGTAAGTGACATCAATGCTGTTTCCAGTATTAATTCTTAACAAGATTTCCTGGATTTTTTTGGCCATTTCTGACTCTATGAGGAGAACATTTTCAAGGCTACATAATAATGCTTCAAGCCAAATTCAGTCCTGCTGTAATTTCACTGAATGATAGAATTCCCAATAACCGCATTTAGGAACAAAGTCTGTTGTCCTTGAAGTGATAAGCACAGACATGCTGTGGGTGCCCGAGGGCACAGTCCCACACCCTCCTCAAAATACTGCATGTGTAGTATAAAAAAGAGCAGAGCATATGAGCGTACCCAGCTTCCTAGTTTTCCTCGTGGCTAAATTAGAACATGCCTCTCAGGATTATTTTCTAAATTGGCATTGTGGGTTACCCTTTCAAACTTGGCATGTGGGTTTTCTTCACTTACATTTATTTTCCTTTTTTTCTGGCCTTATAGGAGCAAGATAATACATCTTCTTCAGCAATTTTTTTTAAATTCCTATTTTGTTGAATGTTTGTTCCACCTTTATGGATTTAGGTGCTACACACCCCCACCAGCTTTATGTTGTCCAAGGGACATATCCTACTGCTAGATAGCACTCCTGTGTTTGTCAACCAGTAAACCATATACCCAGAAAATATTCCTGTAAAGGTGTTATACATAGAGCTCATAAAGACCTCAAAAGATAACTTCTTGGCACATCTCTTTATTTTGGCTTGAACCCCAAGTCTCTCATTTTCAGTCTCCTCTTCCTTGTTCTTCTGCCTCAGAGTGGAAAGGAAAATCTGCTCTTGGGTTGTGACTCTTATACAACATCTGGAAGTCATCTCACTTCATATTGCTCAAAATGCCTGAAAAACTCCTGGTCTTCTGAAATATTTAGAGAGACTTTTGTAATGCTGAGCACATCTCAGGAGCACAGCTAGGGAATAGAGCTTGGCTCCTCTTTCTTCTCATCAGCAATCTAAAAAATCACTGGTCAGGTAGACCAACATCTACTACACTAAGTTCCTCACAAATTCATATGCTTTCTTTGGCCTGCTCCCAGTTTCTTGGCTTTGGGAGATTTCAAGACTTCATCTGACCATTTCGTTCTTCCTCTCCTTACCTTCTTACTTGTGGCACTGAATTTTCACATGCATACACTGCTGTCATGGTTTCATCTGGGATGGGATTGACTTTCTTGCTAGCAGCTGGTGTAGTGCCATCTTTTGGATTTGGGATGAGAATAGCGTTGGTAGAGCACTAATGGTTTTGGTTGTTGCTAGGCAGCCAAGGCCTTTTCTGCTCCTCACCCCACCCCACCAGCGAGCTGGCTGGGAGTGTACAAAAAGTTGGGAGGAGACACAGTCAGGACAGCTGACTCCAACTGACCAAAGGGATAATCCATACCATATGATGTCATGCTCAATATATAAAGCAGGGGGAAGAAGGCAGCGGGGGATGTTCAAAGTGATGGTGTTTGTCTTCCCAAGTAACCATTATGTGTGATGGAGCCCTGCTTTCCTGGAGATGGCTGAACACCTGCATGCCCATGGGAAGCAGGGAATGAATTCCTTGTTTTGCTTTGCTTGTGTGCATGGCTTTTGCTCTGCCTATTAAACTGTCTTTATCTCAACCCATGAGTTTTTCCTCACTTTTAGTCTTCTGATTCTCTCCCCCATCCCAACTGGGGAGAGTGAGCGAGCGGCTGCCTGGTCCTACTTGCTGGCTGGGGTTAAACCATGACAACTGCCCATGAGAAAATAACATTAGACTTTTAGACAGCAGACACTGCCTCCTATGATTAGATAATTAAGCTCTCTGTTCTCTGCAAGACCATCTACCCCCTTTCTTTTTAGGGACACTTTGTGAGAGCTTGGTCTTGTGAGAAATAGATGCTTAATCAGCTCTATCTAGCAGGAGATTCTCACAGGGTAATGGATTTATAGCCACTATTCCCTGTCATTAAAGAAAAGCC